CACTTTCCTTCAGAGTTTAGCTCCAACCCTAATCAAACACACCTGAACCAGCTAATCATTGTCTTCAAGACTACTAGAAGGCTACAGGCAGGTGAGTTTATCAGGGTTGGATCAAATCTCTGCAGGAAAGTGGCCTGGAAGGGCCAAGTTTGCCCATCACTGGTCTAGAGGGTCAAAACTGCGATTGCAGTTAATCCCCACTGTAAAAATCACACATTAGAACCTGAGCGGTACAGCAGTGTCGACGAGCAGCAAGTACAACAGTTAAGCTAAGTGCACTTTAAAAGCCAGGATGAGTGTAACGTGATCAGCACTATTTTCTGCTGAGAGGATGAAAGGAAGGGCGGACATTCTTCACTAACCTGTTGCGATCCCATCAAAAAGTGACAGGACGCGAATGGCTTTTCTGTTCTCTGCCAAAACCGAAGGGTAGAGCCTTGGTGGTTCCTGAAAGAAAGGAGGAGTAAAAAAAGGAGGGTGGACGAGAGATAGACAAGACGAACAGAGAGAGAGAGGCCTTTAAAGCACACTGCTCTGGTAATGAAAGAGCACCTGTCTGTACATACTGTCTGTAACTAACAAAGAGGCCTTTACGTTAAACCAGTCCAGTAACAAGGGGTTATTGTTGAGCGCCTGTACAATAAACGTAGTATCACAGGCCAGTTTCATTAACCATTTTCTTGCGATTAAGTGTGGCTGCTTATCTGTGGTCTTTGTTAAACGTCTTAGTATTCAATAACGCTAACAATAGCAAACGCTCGCTAACCTGTACTGTAATCCATTTAAAGAGTGGAGTGTGTAAGCTAAAACTCTATGATGTTAAGAAGTGTACTCAATGCACAAAGCACAGTGACTTTAACACTCTCTGGCTGCTCTTCAGCACGCTGGCCGTCAGCCAAGCTGCTCTTTCACATGGTCTGGAAAGCAAATGGTTTAGGAGTCATATAATTACATAATAAAACTCTCAAACCATTCACATTTGTACTGTAAACCACACCAGTTTTGATTAAAATGCTCACAGCTGTTCAAACAATGCAGTATTTATGGCTGTGAAATGGAAATAAGAAAACAAAATACATATTTATTAGGGTTGGTAATCTTTAGACATATTGTGGCACTTCAAAATGATTTCACAATGTGATTCCAAAATGATCTCTATTAACCCTATGGTTACTGTTAAAAGTTTCCACAACTTTTCCATTACTTTCCATTTCAGTCAATCCTGATTACTGGATAGAACTTTTTATAGAGATTGCACTCAAAGAGTAATTTATTGCCACTGTCATTTCTAGAGCTGAATATGAACATAAAAATCTATATTTACTTCATATTTCCATGACTTTTCCAGGCCTGGGAATTACAAATTGAACATTTCCTGATATTGCCAGACTTTCCATGAGAATTCTGACTGTTGTTCACTGAGACAAGCTTCAGAATGTCCCACAGGAAGGAAGTGAAGATTTGAACAGTGTATTTTAGACTAAAGTGCTTATGAAGCTGTAAAAATTAATTGTACAGTACCGTTCAAAAATTTGGGGTCTGTACAATTTTTCTTTTTTTTTAGGAAACTAATACTTCTATTCAGCAATAATGCATTAAATGAATCAAAAGTGACAGTGAAGACATCTATAATGTTACAAAAGATTTCTAGTAACAACTGTTTTCAACATTGATAATAATAAATGTTTTTTGAACACCAAATCAACATTTTAGAATGATTTCTGATGGATCATGTGGCACTGATGTCTGGAGTAATGATGCTGAAAATCCAGCTTTGCCTTTAGAGGAATAAATTACATTTGACAATATATTAAAACAGAAAACTGTTATTTTAAAATGTAATCATATTTCACAATATTACAGTTTTTCCATGTATTTTTGATTAAGTAAATGCAGCTTTGGTGAGCGTAAGAGACTTCTTTTAAAAACATACAATACATTTTATTAACCCAAAACTTTTGAATGGTAATGTATATTATTCATACACAGGCTGGAATCAAGTGTGACATTGGAAAATGACTTTTTTTTGTCTTTAAAGAATCATTCAGTTGCACATTATGTGATTAAAAATTATGTAGATTCAAGGCTAATGCTTAACACAGTGAACCGGAGAGCTTGTCTGATAATATAATGGAGAGTAACAGTTGCTAAGGTAGGATTGGTCAGTGATAATTTTAAGGTGGGGCTTTTTAAGGTGCCACTTACAAAGTCCTGGTCGTGATTGTTGGCAAAGAAGTGCTGCAGTCTGCAAGGCCAATCCGCTCGGCGCTCCAGCAGGCCGTATTGAGCCTTCGGCCCACACATATAGCAGTTCCACGGATCTTCTTTAATAGCTGACTGCGCCGCGCCGGGCCCCACCAACAGATCCACACACTCCACACAGAAACACCTGCAGGAGAACAAAGATATAATGGAGGAATCAATGCAGGATTGAGGTAGAAAATGGAAATAATACATCATAGCTCACTGCCGACAGTCTGTCTCACCTGCAACAGTTATTGTTTCCGCACATGAGCACTTCTCTCCCTCCACAGCAGATAGTACAATAGGACTGGTAGCCATCGTCATCGTATTGATACGCACATTCTAGGAAGCAGTTCTATAAAAGGACAAACACTTCAAATATTAATTCATTCGTATCAAGGAATACTGGGCATATGTGGTTGACAAATGAAAAACACTTGCCATTACAAAAGCATTCAAGATTAGAGGAGCAAGTTTGGTGGTAGTTTAGCATTTATATTTGATTGTGTTTCATTTTTTAAAACATAAATATATACAATATATTAGCAAGCAGGGTAATGTCAGTCCATTAAAATATTTAATCTCATTTAATTTCTAGTGCTGTCAAACGATTAATCGTGATTAAACGTATCCAAAATAAAAGTTTTTGTTTACATAATATATGCATGTGTACTGTGTATGTTTATTATGTACATATAAATACACACACATGCATGTATATATTTAAGAAAAATATGTAACGTTTATATATTAAATATATTTATATATGATATAAATTATATGAATATAAATATATACATGTAAATACATGTAAATATTTTCAAAATGTATGCTTTATGTGTGTGTATTTATACAGTGGGGAAAATAATTATTTGATCCCCTGCTGATTTTGTAAGTTTGACCACTTACAAAAAAATTAAGGGTCTATAATTTTTATGGTAGGTTTATTTTAACGGATAGAGACAGAATATCAACAAAAAAATCCAGAAAAACACGTTATATAAAGGTTATAAATTGACTTGCATTTCAGTAAGTAAAATAAATATTTGATCCCCTACCAACCATCAAGAATTCTGGCTCCCACAGATTGGTTATGTGGCCAAGTGGAACACAGATTAGTCCTGTCACTTTAAGAAATTACTCCTAATGTCATCTTGTTATGAGTATAAAAGAAACCAGTTCATAGAATGTGTATCTTCCATTCAAACCTCTCCCACCACCATGGGCAAGACCAAAGAGCTGTCAAATGACGTCAGAGACAAGATTGTAGACCTGCACAAGGCTGGAATGGGCTACAAGACCATCAGCAAGAAGCTTTTTGAGAAGGAGACAACTGTTGGTGTGAATATTCGGAAATGGAAGAAATACAAAATAACCATCAATCGCCCTCTGTCTGGTGCTCCATGCAAGATCTCGCCTTATGAGGAAAGGATGGTCATGATAAAGGTGAGGGAACAGCCCCGAACTACACAGGAGGAGCTTGTTAATGATCTTAAGGCAGTTGGGACAACAGTCGCCAAGCAAACCATTGGTAACACACTACGTTGCAATGAGTTGAAATCATGCAGTGCCTGCAAGGTCCCCCAGCTCAAGAAGGCACATGTACAGGCCCGTCTGAACATCTAAATGATTCAGAGAAGGCTTGGGAGAAAGTGCTGTTGTCACATGAGAACAAAATTGAACTCTTTGGCATCAACTCGACTTGCTGTGTTTGGAGGGAGAGAAATGCTGACTATGACCCCAAGAACACCATCCCTACAGTCAAGCATGGAGGTGGAAACATTATGCTTTGGGGCTGTTTCTCTGCTATGGGTACAGGATGACTTCACCACATTGAAGGACCGATGGACGGGACCATGCACCATAACATTCTGGATGAGAACTTCCTTCTCTCAGCCAGAACACTGAAGATGGGTCATGGATGATGGGTCTTCCAGCATGACAATGACCCAAAATACCGCCAAGGCAACAAAGGAGTGGCACATTAAGGTCATGGAGTGGCCTAGCCAGTCCCCAGACCTTAATTCTATAGAAAATCTGTGGAGTGAGCTGAAACTTTGAGTTGCCAAGAAACCTTAAGGATTTAGAGAGAATCTTTAAAGAGGAGTGGAACAAAATCCCTCCTGAGATGTGTGCAAACCTGGTGACCAACTACAAGACACGTCTTACCTCTGTGCTTGCCAACAAGAGTTTCTCCACCAAGTTTTGCTTGGGGATCAAATACTTATTTGACTCACTGAAATGCAAATCAATTTATAACCTTTGTACAGTGTTTTTTTCCCTGGATTTTTTAGCTTGATATTCTCTCTATCCGTTAAAATAAACCTACCATACAAATTATAGACCCTTCATTTCTTTGTAAGTGGGCAAACTTACAAAATCAGTAGGGGATCAAAAAATTATTTTCCCCACTATATACATAATAAGTATACACAATACACACACGTGTAAACAAAAACGTTTATTTTGGATGCGATAAATCGTTTGACAGCACTATTAATTTCATAATTAAATGCTATGGATGGAGCAATAAGAATTCTGTCCAGTATTAAAATGATAAACGTTAAATGGTTGATATTAAAAACTATTCACTAAATAAATAAAACAAATAAATTGTTTCATCAAATGTCAATTTAAGCCCCGTTTCCACTGCAGGAACTTTCCCCAGGAACTAGGGACTTTGGGCCGGTACTCGGTGTGTTTCCACCGCAGGAACCAGGATCTAAATAAAGTTCCATGTAAAAATGTGCCCCTCAGAAAGTCCCTGCTCGCGAGGTAGTAATTTTTCAAAGGTCCGGAACTTTCGGGGGCGGGACTTGGGCGCTGAACATGCTGATTGGTTGAGTTCACGCAGCATTGTATTTCAACCACCATATATTTGCATAATTTTTTTAAATATTATTGTTTCAGTGGAAAATCGGCTTTAGTAATCACAACATTATAATGTACAGTATGAGAAATAAAAATAAATAAAAAGTGAAAGTCCACAATTAAGCATACACTATATGATAAATTATTTTAAAAATAAATAAAAATATCACTTGATATTCGATATGCTTCCAATATACTTAGCATCCCTACTTAATGCAATTAGTTCCAGTAAAACTATTTATTTCAATATAATTACATGAATTAACTTTGAGAGCAAGATATGTAGAATATATATTTAAAGATGGCATTACAATTATCATACTCTAACTTTAGCATAACTTACAGCCAACATCTTTCTGATTGACTCCATTTGTCTCAGTACTTTTTTTAATGAATGTTTTGCAATGCAAATGATCATGTACAGCATACAGTATGTAACATTTGTTTTCAAGTCACAGACAAAAAAAATCTGCCAATAATGCGAATGGACATGATAAAATTACAGTCAGGCAAACAAAGCAGCCCTCAAGGAAGTAGGAAGCAGGAATTTCCTGGCTTTTACCTTACAGCTTTGGCACATTCCTCCAATGAAGAGTGGGTGCTCCAGGGAAACATTAAGGCTGCCACAGGAGATGCAGATGTCTGGAAGTGTTCAAAGTGAGAGAGAGATTTTAGCAGAGGCTCTAACACTGACAGACAGCCCGTTATAAAACACATCTCAATCTGTATGTGTAATGCATACCTTCAATGTTTCTACATTTCTGACGAACTTCGTATACAAGCCTCTCTGAAAAACAACATTTATAAATGTTACATTTCAAAACTGGAAAACCTCCCAGTGTTTCACACATTTGGCCTAATTCAACTTGACATCTTGTTGAATGGAAATTTCAGTGGTTTGCATTTACATCACCTCGACAATTAAATTATTTAATAGTCAAAACACTGCCATAGAATAGCATGCCATAATTTTTATTAACTGATATAATGCTGCTAATTGTAGTGGTACTACATATTAAATATATTACATGTCAGAAATAATTGATGATGGACAGCTGAATAATTGAAAATCTTCAGTGCTGAACTGGATTAAAAATTAATGCAAGGTTTGGAGTCAATTATTCCAGTTGCCACATTGACAATTGTACATACTAGTTCATCATACTAGTTGACATTAGTTCAAAAGTGTCACCAAAACAGCAGTTATTAGATTTGCTTCTTTGTCATTTTTTTTGGATGTTTTGCAGTGGTATAGTGAAACATTAAATTCAAATAAATGTATCTAAATTTTCAATTTCAGTTTGCATAATGCCTTTTGCAATACACATTGTACCAAAGCAGCAACAGTGCTGTAGTTAAAAAAAGAATACACTACCGTTTACAGATTTCAAATTTTTTTTTAAAGAAATTAATACTTTTAAAAGTGACAGTAAAGACATTTATAATCTTACAAAAAAATTATATTTAAAAAAATGTTCTTCTTTTGAACTTTCTATTTATCAAAGAATCCTGGAAAAAAAAAAAAACGTATCACGGTTTCCACAAAAACATTAAGCAGCACAACTGATGTTTCTTCAATTCAGCTTTACAATCACAGAAATAAATTACATTTTAAAATATATTTAAATAGAAAACAGCTCATTTAAATTGTAACAGTATTTCACAATATTACTCTTTTTGAACAGTACAAACTATTGAACGGTAGTGCCTGTTATATTATGTATACTATAATTTAAATATTTTTAATGAGATTTTTATTGCACCACTTTTTAATTGTTTTCATTAAATATTAAGCAGGTGTTATAACTAAGGTGAAATATAAAGCCATTTGTAACTACCAAAACTGTTGCAAGTGAAGTGAAACTCTTGGCTCTACATGTAACCCACAAAGGAGATGGTGCAAGACTGCTCCAGTTTTCCTCTGTTTGAGTGTTTAATAAAGCTCCCTGCTGATTTAACAGCTCGTCTCTTTATTACTACTGTTAGGTTTTCCTGCCCTAAAACATGGGAAGTAATTTTGAAATCTTTAGCATGTATTATAACAACAACAACTGAACAACACGTAGGTGAAAGTGCCATTTTAAAGCTATGTTTGAACATGTGCTACAATTCAATACAAAACACATCTCTTTAAACTTGTAGGATTAGACGAGACCCCTGTCATAGTTCCAGACACACCCTCTTGTGTTTACTCTGCCGGCTGAGTAGATGAGAGCGCTAATCCTGATTTAGCATGTGCGGGTGTGTGTTTACGAGCGAGAACTCTTTGAACTCGCTGACCTGGTTCAGTGAGAGTATCCGCTCACCTCGAGTCCGCTCGTCGATGATGTCTTTGACCTTGGGTTTCTCTGTGGCTGTGCTCTTGCGGGGCTTTTTTGCTGGTGGGGGCGTGTAGGCCGCCGCCTCTGGCTCCACCCACATCTCTGGATATACTTCCTTGTAGGGGTTACGTTCCTCTAAAAAAGGCAAAATGGTACGTATAGCTATTGGTTAATGGATAATGTGGTGTGTCTATGTAAACGTCCGGCAGTCAGGATCGTTTTGATTTAACCAGTAACAGAGCTTAATTCCTGGCAGGCTGGCATGTGTACAAGCTTAATGGATCAACATCTAGTAAGCATCTACAAGAGATCTTAAAAGACAAAATTCTCCAAAATCTCTGAACCGAGGAACTGTCCATCAGAAATCTCACCGGTTTGCACATTTCTGGTTAACAACAACAAACAACTGAATTTAAACCTTTACCTTAAAGTCAGCATGAACTCACTAGCATGGATAAACTTGGAAATAACAGAAAGAAATTACCCAAAAATGAAAAGTGATTAACAAAACGTGAAATTTTTAAGAATCTGCATGCATATCTTTTCCATACAATGACAGTTCATTAAAAGAAAAGGATAATTAACATGGTCCTTATGACTTGTTTGCTATATTCCAAATCGTCTTGAGCCACATGGGCTTTGTGGGAAAACCAGACAGAAATGTAATTCATTAACAACTGAATCACTGAAACCTTGCCCTCCAATGAGCTGTCGACACAAGAATTGGTGCAACCCATACAATTGAGTCATGGAGTTGTGAACAAATGTGACCCTGGACCACAAAACCAGTCTTAAAGGCACAATATGTAAGATTTTTTTATTAAAATATCCAAAAACCACTAGAACAGTGTTATATATTTTGCTGACTTACATTATCCCAAATGTTTCGTCGCCTGCCAATGATGTCATACACCTTTGATTTCCGGTTTTGTTTTGTAGAAAACATGGAAACACCAAAGACGCTTTAATATGTTGTGCGTTTTAATAGACCGGTGACGACCGCACAGAGTAGCATTATAACAGAACTTTCAAATGTATCTAGTATGATAAAACAGCGCTGCTTTACCCCACATACACACGACCGGAAGGAGCGGAAGCGGTCGACTGTGGCATAATAAAAGCTCTGCTGCTTTCGAGCCGTGTGTCACACTCGTTCAAGCGGCCTCGTTTTGCGTCGACGGCTTTCAGCCTCACCCTGCTTCATTCTACTACGTTAATAAATCATTAGCTCATCCATGAACATGATTTCTGCCCGAGTCCCGTCGGATTGCGTCGGCTGTGGGGATGAAGACGACAACTCCCATGATTCCACACTCAGCCACGGCGTCATCAAACTACGCCTTTGTCTATTTGTTTATTTTGAATATGCGCCCTCTAGCGGCGAAAATTACATATTGTGCCTTTAAGTCGCTTGGGTATATTTGTAGCAATAGCCAAAAAATTATTCAGCTTTCAGATGCTGTATAAATCTCCATTTTGAAAAATTTACCCTTATGACTGGTTTTGTGGTCCAGGGTCACAAATCAGCTCAATTTGTGAACCCTATCAACTGGTTCATGGAGGAGAACTTGAACTAAAATGAACAATTCATTCACTGATCCAGTTCTCAAGTTCAACTCGCCTGAATCAGTGATTCGGTCACAGTGGTTTTTAAGTTAACAGCTCACTAGAGGGGAAGTTATAATGGATTCAATTTTATTCTGATTCTCACGCAAAGATATATTAATGAATTCAGAAGATGCATCACATGAATCATATGGACCACTTTTATGATGCTTTTTGTGTTTGTTTTGTTTTGTTTTTTGTGATTTTTGGAGCTTAAAGGGATAGTTCACCCAAAAATGAAAATTTTGTCATTAATTACTCACCCTCTTGTTGTTCCAAACACGTAAGACCTTTGTTCATCTCGGGAACACAAATTAAGATATTTTTATGAAATCCGACAGCTTTCTAACCCTCCATAGTTAGCAACTGTACTACTACGTTCAAGGCCCAGAAAGGTATTAAAGGGGTCATATGATGCGATTTCAATTTTTCCTTTCTCTTTGGAGTGTTACAAGCTCTTGGTGCATAAAGAAGATCTGTAAAGTTGCAAAGACTAAAGTCTCAAATCCAAAGAGATATTCTTTATAAAAGTTCAGAGTCAGCCACACCTACCTAAAACGGCTCGTTCTAACACGCCCCCACATACCTACGTCACAATGTGGGAAGATTTGCATAACGCCGTTTTGTAAAAATCGACGCGTTTCAAAAAGGCGGGGCATAGAGGAGAAACAATAATGGAAAATAATGTGTTTTTTTTACTTTAAACCGCATAAACACATTTCATTACACCAAATACACAAAATAATGTTCTTTTTAGCAGCATCATATGACCCCTTTAAGGACATCGTTAAAAATAGTCCATGTGACATCAGTGGTTCATCCTTAATTAGAATACATTTTGTGTGCAAAATAAAATAAAAGAATAACTTTATTCAACATTTCTTCTCTTCCATGTCAATCTTCGACACACATTCACAAGAGTACCATGCATGCGTGTGGTGCTGCTGATGCAGGAGCCGGCATTCTGACGTAGTTTCATAACATTAAGCTTGAAACGTTGATGTCACATGGACTATTTTAACGATGTCCTTACTACCTTGGAACAACATGAGGGTAATTAATGAAAGAGTAATTAATCACAGAATTTTCATTTCTGGGTGAACTAACCCTTTAACAATTAAGTCATTATAGACTGTCGTTCTAACAGAGTTGCATGAAAACCCCATAAGTTTGTGTTCCACTGAAAAAGAAGCAAAAGTCTCTATTTGTGTTCTACTAAAAAAATAGCAACACATGAAATTGAGTAAATGACAGAATATTAATTTCTGGGTGAACTATCCCTTTCAACAAGCTTGACATTTTCCTTAGCCAAGCAAGCAGATATCAATATGAAACAACAGCAGTCTTACCTTCAGGCGGCTCTAGACCTTTAGGTCCTGTGGGTTGAAATCCCGTCATGGCCCATTCAATCATCTGTTTGTTTTGCATGTCTACTGACTTAGAAGTGTCAGTGTCATCACTCTCCGGGCATGTGAGGAAGGTTTTGCCTGCTCTAGTGCTGGCTACCTGCAAAGCACGCCATTCAAACATTTTCTTTAGAGAGATTTTTGCTTGGAATATAACAAAATAAACTAGAGAAGATCTGATTTGTTCAATCCTCGATTTGTACCACAAACAAATTCCTACCTGTAGCACTTCAAAGATGGCTTTCTTGTACATTGGTTGTTTATTGTAGGTTGGCTGGTGAAAGGCGTTGTGGAAGGAACTTAAAGGCAACAGTTTCTCAACACAGACCTACCGGGAAAAAAATGAAACAAAACATTTAGAGGGATGTTCCAGGTTACAATACAACCTCTATCGACAACAATGGTAGCATGATGTTGAGTACCAGAGAAAATTATGACTTGTCCCTTACTGTCAACAAATTCTCTCACCCCCTTTAAGGGATAGTTCACCCAAAAATGAAAATTTTGTCATTATTTACTCACCCTTATGTTGTTTCAAACCTGTATGAATTTTTCTTCTGCTGAATACAAAAGAAGATATTTTCTATCAAATAGCTGCTTGTAGCCATTGACTTCCAAATAATTTTTTTCCTACTATGGAATGTAATAGCTACCAGCAACTGTTTGGCTACCAACATTCTTTAAAATATCTTCCTTTGTGTTGAACAGCGGAAGGAAACTCATACAGGTTTGGAACAACTTGAAGGTAAGTGAATGATGACATAATTTTCATGTTTGGTTGAACTATCCCTTTAAATTGCATTGTTTCCTGAAAATTAAAGTCATTAATTTAAGATTTAACTTGTTTTACACCATGTGCTGTAAGAGTGAATACAAACTCACCACAGAAAACTTGCCGTCACCGAACCACATGACCCATCTAGTGCCCTCAGCCGCCCGGCTGCGTCCAGTCATTAACCAGGATACAATTCGGCCGGGCCACCAGGAGAATCCTCGTAACTTTCCCCACACAAGCTCACCAATGCTGAAACCTCGGCCATCCTGCAATATACAAACACAAACGAAGGACAACTTTTGATTTCAATCACTTTACATAAATACAAAAAATAACCTGTTTTTTTAATTATCTTTAATTCTTTTTACTGTCTTGACTTTCAGCCTGTATGGTAACTCTGTGGCGATTGCTATAAATTGAAGGTTTTCCTACACAAATTTCGCAGTGGTTTCGAGTTGGTCACATAGATTCGCCGAGATGACCAACAGCAAGCTACTTGGTTTGAAAGTGTCTTCTATGTGAGCTGTGCTTCATCCCTATACTACTGACAATAGACAGTGGACCTATTTTGCCCACATAATTTTACAGAAGCTTCACTAATGACCGCACCTTAAAGGTATAGTTTACCCAAAAATTTTAATTCTGTCATTAATTACTCACCCTCATGTCGTTCCAAAGCCGTAAGACCTTCGTTCATTTCGGAACACAAATTAAGATATTTTTGATGAAATCCGAGAGCTTTCTGACCCTGCATAGACAGCAAGGGAACTGACATGTTCAAGGCCCAGAAAGGTATTAAGGACATTGTTAAAATAGTCCATGTGACATCAGTGGTTCAACCTTAATTTTATGAAGCTACGAGAATACTTTTTGTGTGCAAAGAAAACAAAAATAACAGCTTTATTCAACAATTTCTTCTTATCCCAGTCAGTCTTTGACGCGTGTTCACGAGAGTACCACGACGCATACATGTAGTGTTGCTGACACAGGAGCCGGCGTTGTAGAATCCTGTAGAATGTAGAATCCTGATGCGCTGCACCTTGTTTGCAAGCAGAGGAATGCACACGCATGTGTCGTGGTACTCTCATGAACGCGCATCGAAGTCTGACATGGAAGATAAGAAATTGTTGAATAAAGTTGTTATTTTTGTTTTCTTTGCAAACAAAAAGTATTCTCGTAGCTTCATAACATTACGGTTGAACCACTGATGTCACATGGACTATTTTAACAATGTCCTTACCTTTTTGGGCCTTGAACGTGTCAGTTCCCTTGCTGTCTATGCAGGGTCAGAAAGCTCTCGGATGTCATCAAAAATATCTTAATTTGTGTTCCGAAGATGAACGAAGGTCTTACGGGTTTGGAACAAGGGTGAGTAATTAATAAGAGAATTTTCATTTTTGGGTGAACTATCCCTTTAAGGCAAAGAGCTGTACGACATTAGTTTTAGTATAGTTTCAAATTACTCCCAGATTTCATATGAAACAAACCCTCAAGCAGAAGACAGGCCCCACTGTTTAAACCTGGATTTCGAATCTGGTTAGCCAGATAACTTACAAGATAACATTGCATAATCCTGGGATTTCTCTGAGAATAATTATCCTATCAGCAAGCAGGTGTCAAGTGTTGGAAATTTTACTTTGATAACAAAAGTAAATTTGAAAAAGGAAAATCCCACATTTATCCCAAAACTTATCCGGCTAACCAAATAAGCCACAACTGCAGAACCAACCACCCAAACTACAGAATGTAAGTACACAATATTTCTAAATTATCAACCCCAAGTCACCAAGATCATGAGGAAGTTACTCGTACTTCGTACTCCGACTCTGTGTCAGTGGACTTGGGTGAGGTCTTGTCTCCGTCCCCTATAGACACGGGCTCTGGGGTGGTGGCAACAGTTGGAGAGGCTGGGTCCGTAGGCTGCTGTTGCTGTTGGAATGGTGGAGGTTGTTGCTGGGGAGAAGGCTGGGGTTTGAGGTTGGTCTGAGGTTGAGCTTGAGGCTGTGGCGGTTGCTGCTGTGTTGGTGGCGTCGGTGGAGGAAAGAGTACTGGGACGGTGATTATGGAGCTGTCTTTTTGAGGCTCCGACTGTACCTCGCCATGGTCCTCCATTGAGTTCATCACAGACACCAGTTTTGCCTTCTTCTCTGCCTGCAACGTAGGGAACAGCGGGACAGGAAGAGGAGGAGGTAAAGCACATGGAACAGCAGTGGCTTTCCTGAGAATAGCACAGTTCAGCGCTTGAGTAATGGTGACTACTCGGTTTGTTTATAGCACTTTAATCCCACGTGCCAACACAAATATCCCCATCCTTTGATAAAGCACAAGTGCCGCCCCTTTGGGTGTGATAAGTGGCAGAAACCTGTGAAAACAGTCCCCTTTTCATTGCGTTGAAAGCTGTGTGCCATCACTTCGTAACAATGAAAGCTCCCCCCGTGGCTGAAATAGATGCGCGCTGGAGAGTTCAGCGAGTTTGTCCAACCTGACTCTAAGCTATTAGGTCAAAAACAGAGGACACGAGCCAAGCCATGACTTAAGCAGCTCACAGCAAATCCCTAACAGCTGCACCTCTCTCGTCCACTCGTTCTCGCTCACTCGCACGTGAATCTCTTTCACAGCTGTACTTTCTCTGCTGCTGGGGTCCATCTCCGTCTCCAATTTCACTCACACACACGTGAACCTGGCAGAGTCGCCAGTGTGTGTGTGTGTGTGTGTCTGTGTACGGAGAAAACGGTTGGATCCATCCCCAGAAAGCTCTCCTTATGTCTCTCTTTAGCTCACTCCCTCCATTATAGTGGCTATACATTCATATAAGCCAGCAAAGGGGGGAGAGAAGCTCTGGAGCCAAGAGCTCATGAGTGTGCATGAATAGACAGGATGAGTGTGGAGTAGAAACATGTGACCTCAAATCAAGAAGCCCCACTGTAGTTTATAAATATCTGTATAGCTTCACTGGCTGCTTCGATGAGCTGGGCCATATGTGCCAGGCTGTTTGTCTTTGACAGAAGGTTGACTGTGGAAAGAGTATTTAAGTGTATGCAAGTGGTTTTGTGCATATGTGCATCTATTTATCTCTGCAGTACTAGGCGGTGTGATGGTATATACCAGTAGTTCTCAACTGAGCCTAAATAAACTTCTAAGGGAGCTGCATAATGTCTAATTTTTAAATATGTATAGTGTCTTTTGTAATCCATGTCATTTCAAAACCAACAAGCAAAGCATGTTTTGTAACTTAGCAATATTTCTCAGGTTGAAGAATACTGTTCTAAAAACTCTGGAAATGTGGTTTTCAAAGGACAAATTGCAATCAAGTGTAACACTCAGGTCCTTAAGTGTATAAGATGATACAACAATTCATTTATCTAGGCACAAATTGCATTTGAGCAGCAATATTTCAATGAATATAAGCTGTTTGTCAGAATTTAACAGAAGGAAATGGCTGTCAACTGTACCACCTCTTCAATGTGCTTAATTCAACTTGGAAAACTGGGGTATGTGGTATAGAGGAAATATAAAGCTGCATCATTAACATAACAACGAAAGCTAATTCCAAGTTTCCTGATGTTTCCACTAGAATGTTTTATTTGCCTTATTAATAAAAATACCTGATTCAACTCATCAGCTCATTAGTGTGTTAAATAGGGAGACATCTAAACATTCTGGGACCAGGAAAACTACAGAGGACATAATACAGAGCCTTGGGGGACTCCATATTGTACTTAACTAGATATTCATTAGATTTTAAAGTTTCTAATTTTCACAATAAAGTAGTAGCAACCAAACAGCTTTTAAAAAGTAAAACTTTGTCTGACCAAAGTGTTTTTTTTTTTTTTTTTACAAAGTTACAAAAAATATCTGTAACAAATTCAGCATCCAATTTTTTTTCCTTTGTAAAATATTTATTTTTTGTTTCATTTAAAGAAACAATGTTCTAAAGTTTAAAATCATTAAGTACTATTAATTATTTGCATGTATTTTTGTCTTCATTTCAGTGGAATTTACAAGAGGAATTATCACAGCCTGCGCAGAGACTCCTTTGAATATTGAATTTGACAATGGGGGAGTCACAAAAGTTGAGACCCACTGTTACATACAATGCAATGGTAGTAACACTGAGACATTGCTACACCGTTTATACCATATCAGATATATTTATGTAGGAAATAGTTTTACACTGTTTTCATTCACTTGTTATGATTTTTTTCACAACAAAAGTATTTAAAGTTCGTGTAAAGCGATATTAAAATATGTGTTCTGAGTTTGTCACACAACAGAAAAATGTGTTATTAACCACCCAGCCAAATTTGAATGTTAAAAAAAACCGCCAAGTAAATAAAATAAGTTATAAAAATCTTGGAAAAATAAGCAGGACTCTCTGCTCTCAAACGCTGGGGGCGTGTCCGCTGTCGGCACTGAAACCATGCCCACTCACGGGAAAGCGGCCGTCTCTCTCAACTGTCAAATACCGCTACAACCTGAATGGATGCTACTGATGTTACCTCTAGTAGCTTAATTGGATTTATACATCCATACATGTTTGAGCCTCCAGAGCCAGAATCCAATTTAGAGGACATTGACCGGCTACCCGAGAATCAACCTCATCCCACTCGGTCTGCAACAGCATGGTATTTTTTTTTTCTTCTGACGCTAATACGCAGTAGTTATTATAGTGTTAGGGGCGGTGATAGTGTTTCCATTGCGTCATCGAGCCACCGTTTTAGCCCCGCCCAAAAAATCCTGAACACAGAATTGGTGAAAAACTGTTTCACAGTTTAACTCCACAATTCAGTACTACATACTTCAGAGTCTTTGTAATGTGTTTCTGCAATACATTTCTAACATTTATAATGTGTTTAGAAACAATTATCAGAATTCTCTTTACACTGACTTTAAATCACTACATTTAATACTAGACATCACATCACTGTTATTCAATATATAAAGCATTTTTTGTTGAATTTCTATAAAAAATAACTACATTATGATGTCCGCTGTCACCAAAATGTACAATTACTCATACCATATATAAGATTTTCTGTCATACACCAGTGGCTTGAGTTATCATTAATGTAATCTTAGTCCAATCATTTCAAGCCAAGCATATAAACAGGATTAAATCAGAATATAATTCAAATCTGAAACCCTTATCTAAAGAAAATATTATCTTGAGCTACCCATGACTGATTCCAACTCACATGCTTGTGGCTCTGTTCGCTCTAAATGTACACAATTTACATTCCACACAACAAGCCGAACTCACCCTATGTGATTGATGAAGAGTAAAAATGCCTGCTTTTGATATAAAACCCACACATAACTTCTGACTAGCTTGAAAAACCTCCTTAAGTTGTCAAAGCTATCATAGATACTACAGGATTGTCAAAACCAATCATAAATAATGACAGAGGCAGCCAATACTGCAGGCAACTATTGTGTATCAAATTGTACAGTGACAGGGAGAGAAGAATGTCGACTCATGAAGGAGGAAAGGGTTATTTCTACATAAAAATGAAGAAATCAATAGAAAACTGACTCCCCAAAAACTAGTGGAGGAGAGGAAAGCACTGCGGCTATAAGTGGAGATTTGCTTCTGGACATGTTTTTTTTTTCCCCCAGCTGTAAATGCCCCTCTTCGGGGGCCTCACTGTAGCAAGTCTGGCTCTTGAAATTGAGGGAGGGGGAGACGAGAAGGAAGGAAAGGGGGAGGGTTTCAGGAGTACAGTACTTTACAGTCTTTGTCAGCCACAAACACAAGGCTCAGCTCAGGAATAAGAAGATATATAAGCAGTGTCATCCACAACAGAGAGCTTAAAATAACCAGATAACCAGTGTATTTATAAAAGTCCAAAGAAAAAAATACAACAACAAACAGCAACAAGTACAGCAAGCTGTACTGTTGGAATCAATTTGAATAAATGCTTAATAAATATTTACTGAATAAATGCATTTATAAAGATAAAGATTATTAAAAAGCATGAAAAGTTGAAAGTTACCCATTTATTGACCTAGTTTGCTGCATGGCTGTCCAAAAGATAAAAAGCAAATTTAAAATACTAAAAACACAGATCTTGAGATGTATTTAGAGAAAATGTTTCTGAAACTAGTACTAGTCTTACATTTCTAACTAACAAAGAATATTCTCCAGCCACTGAAGTAATGAAATGTAAATCTCAGCATAAGTACTAAGAAAACTTAGCCACTAAGTCACTATGGGACTAAAAATGTGGATGTACTGTAATGGGATCTATAATGCAGTACTTTCAATTAAGCCAAAAATTTCCACATAGAATAATACAGAAGCTTACAGAACTAAGTGATAAACTAACCTCTTCAGTTAAAGCTCTTATACACAGTACACATAAATCCAATACTGAAAGGTAAGAAGGGTAACCATGTGAGAGAATGTTTTTTAAGCTCTATGTTAAAGCTGGTGTGCTGTATTATAGGACAGCACAGCCTTTAGGAGCGCTACCTATATCTGAAAGGAAACACCCATGGCCTTAAGCTGCTCTCCACATTACAATGATCAACCAAGCCTCTTTTCCAAGAAAAGCTCCTCTGGCAAATTCTTTTTTCCAACCTTATTGTAATTTTTTATATACCATGACGATTCGATTCAATTCCATGATCAGCTACTGCACATGGATGCCTGTAGGCCTATTATTTTGTATGTTAGGCCTTTGAATGTGTGTTCATATGACATAGGGATGAAAAAACAGCATTACTAAAAAAAACAATATACTTTCATGATTTATGATCATAAGGACAGCCTGAGGCTAATGTAAGAGACTTTCGGGCCAGCTAATGGAAGTTTAATTTGCACTCAGACCAATGCCACATTGTTACTATGTCATACATTTGTTTTGTCACACTTTTATGCCTGACAAATTTCAATATTTGGCTTCTGTGATAAACTGAGGATTGTAGTTGCTAATTGTGATCATTTAAATATGCCAACAAGCTAACATTAATGATAGAATGATAGCCTTGGAAGCATTAGTTTGGGTTGAAAATTACGAACAAATCAGTATTATGACACGGCGCATGCTATACAACATAGCTTTTTAGGGAAGAAAGAAACATAATAAATATTGCTTAATATTAATATTTCAATAAATTATAAAATACAATTATAAAAAATAAATTATAAA